AACACATACACACACACACACCTACACACACACAGACACACACGCACTTGGTGTTCGAAATATATTGCATTTTAGCTCCCTTTTCTTGTCCCTGTGTATACCTCGGTCCCTCATAAGATGATCTTGTTATTTACAGACAGAATGAACTCGCAACAATATGTGGACATTTTAAATAATAGTTTTATCCCATCATACCGGATTCTCTATCCACAAAGTAGAATCACTTTTGTACAAGATAATTCCGCCGTTCATACGTCACACATGGTGCGAAATTATCTTGCACAAGAGGATTACAATGTCATGCATTAAAATCGGCTCCGTACAATGATTGCTCGAGGTATCGCATAAACATGGCGGAAAATACAAAAATGATTTTGTCAATCATTTGATACCCCTTCTCTATTCTACTACCCTAAAACACATTTTGTTCATTTTCGTGTTGTGCTTTTTGTCACTGGAAGCAAACTGTAGCTAAACTGTTTTCACAAATCTTCTTTGAAAACTTACTTAGGCAGGCTTCGCCTTGAAATGATATTCCCAATTTGGGGGATGGGACGGAGATTTTTTTCAGTGTATAGTATAGAAACATTGTATGTATAAAGGAAATCTATTTTGAATAACAATATGTATTTTTTTCAGAATGCTACGTGGCCCGTATTAGATTTTTGTAAGAATGCTTTTGTTTATTTGTTACTTTTGTTTATGGATTTATACAGAAACTGTTTTTTTTTTGAGAATTCTAGATTGATTTATTACTTGTTTGTATTTTAAAGGATATTATTTTTATTTTAATTGCATGGAATTAACTGTTTTATTTTATTATTTTATACTATATTATATATACTCCATAATAATTTATTGAACCACTCACTACCTTATTATAACAATGAGCTGATGGATTATAATTTATTGTTTGCGCAACCTAGGCTTGAGTGCCAAATATTTGACCTACCATAGAAAAATTGATCTCTCAATCTCTCTCTGTTTGGGGACCAGTTATTAAACAGACAGGCCGTCGGCAATGAGTAATCAGGGGAGCCGAAACACTTCGTTCCGCGACCTGTCTTTATGTAGAGCGTCCCCCTTTTTTTCTATATAATTTATTGCCGGTTTATTTCTTTGATCTCCTTTACCGCTGTCTGAGCAAAAGCTAAACATACACGGTAATGATTACCGAAAGGAAATGCCATAAACAGGTTACAATAACAATAAGAGTTTTGAGCCTAGCAACTAGAATTCTTAGAGAGATTTTACAAGGAGTGTGTATATGTTCAAGTGTTGTGTTCTGAAGATTTAAAAATAGGAAAATTGATATAGCGTTATCTTAAAAATCGCCGCAAATCCTTCCACTCTCAAATCTGCCGTTGGTAATAAAGGAATCATCAACTTGAGCATTTTATAGACCAATTGCGTATGAATGAAAGGCGAAAGGTAAGAAATCAAAGGCCCTGGCTGGAATGAAGCTTCTCAAACGCTGGGAGATTTTAGGTACGAATTCGCGTCGTGTGGGTAGAGACAGTTGATTATGATTTGTTCACCAAAATATTCATACAGATCATGTTATGGCGGAATCATGAATCTGAATATGCATACTAGTTAACCAGGCTGCTGAGCATATTAGCGCTGGCTATTTATCCTTCTTGCAAGTAATTTCATTAGCTCTGAAAAGTATTTCACCAGTAGGTATTCAGTTTAACCACTTTCCGTGTCTATACAAAACTGCCTTCTGGTCTACATGCTTCTTACTTTGTACAGATACTGGTAGGTTAAGCCACTTTAAGCAGAAATCCAAGTACTATATAGAATTTTTGCTTTTCCAGAAATCCTCCCAATGCTAATAAAAACAATTATGATCAATTATGATTCATTAAATTTACTCATATGTGATTTCCTAGTTTAGTCCGATGCCCATAAAAGTGATTTGTAGGAGCCACTGTTGTGGTTGATTTCGCGATAGTAATCGTTTCCTGTAGATTGAGATACTGCCCAACCAGTGGTGTTATCCAGAAATAGATCTGGGAGGAGGCTCAGGATCCAGGGTCGTGGAGATAGAAAACTGCATAGCAGGGGGGAACTCGCTTAGTCCAGGTAGCACACTTCACAGAAGGTATAACATGCTGTAATATGTAGAAGAAGCCTAATGAGCTGTTACGCTTCGGCAAGGGAAACTCCGAGGAGCCTCAAATCTCTCCCTTGAATACGCCGGTGTGTCCATACCAGAATAGTAACAGAGGCGTGGGGTCTGTGGGCCTAGCTCAAACAGTTCCGCCGTTCTTTCTAATATCATTGGGTTTCCATCCAACCAGCGACGGCGACGAAGTAAATAAGAAATGAATAAGTCCTTCTTCATTAAATTTACAACTTGATGCGTTAATTAAAGAAATTATCCTGTTTTTAGTCATAAAATGCTACCAGACAATTGAGAAAAAAAATAATATTTTAAATTTCAATAGGCATTAAGAGTAATCCATGTAATTTTTTCTTATGAATGTGGAAGTGGAACAACCAGCGGGTACGCTAATGCAGTCGGCGGCGCGGCACCTCAAAGACAAACGCTGTATTTTGTGTTTTTGGCTCACAAAGACTGACTGACCAGTTATCAAACAGACCGCCGGCAATGAGTAATCAGGGGAGCAGAAACACGCCGTCCTGCGACCTGTCTTTAGGTAGAGCGTCCCTCTTTTATCTAGTATAATTTATTGCCGGTTTATTTCTTTGATCCCCTTTATCGCCGTCTGATGGATCATTCTAAGCAAAAGCTAAACATACACGGTAATGTTTACCGAAAGGACATGCCATAAACAGGTTACAATAACAAGAAGAGTTTTGAGCGTAGCAACTAGAATTCTTAGAGAAATTTTACATGGAGCACCCTTCAAAACACTTTAAGGAGTGTGTGTATTTCGTATTTTTAAGAGTTGTGTTCTGAAGATTTAAAAATAGGAAAATTGATATATCATTATCTGCCGTTGGTAATAAAGGAATCATCAACTTGAGCATTTTATAGACCAATTGAGTATGAATGCAAGACGAAAGGTAAGAAATCAAAGGCCCTGGATGGAATGAAGCTTCTCAAACGCTGGGAGATTTTAGGTACGAATTCGCGTCATGTATCGGCGGAGTGTGGGTATAGACAGTTGATTATGATTTGTTCATCAAAATATTCATACAGATCTTATTGTAGCGGAATCATGAATCTGAATATCCATAATGTTGCCAGGCTGCCTAGTATATTATTAGCGTGTATGTCCAGCTTTACATCCACCCTTCAACTGGATAGATACACCCACACACATGCCGCTATACAATAGGTTTTTTTTGTTTTTGATTTACTGCCTGGAGGCGACCAAGATATCCAAATAAAGGGAAGAAAGGTTACAGGCGGATGGTTCACCTGAATGGGTTCCCTACTTTTAATTTTATTGATTACAACAGAGTAATGCTTAGTTTGGCATGTCATAGACTAATTGAGTTTATACAGTGTAATACATATTATTATTTTTTCTGTCTAGACGATATATGATAAATAGCATTTTCTGGAAAATAAGCTTGAAAAATAGAGTGCTTTAGCGTTCCACCCATTGGCGATAACCCACCTGTCGTTCTGGTTTCCTTGACATTGTGCAATATCAGTAACTACTATACTGATTCTAACAGAGGTTGGAATGAATTATTGTTCGGTCACAAGTTTGAAAATGAGTGTAAGAGCGCTAAACTTAGCAACCAGAAAAGAAAGCAGATTTTTCAAACTGTGTGCTTACATCCTAAAAGCTTTTTCAGTTTAGATGAAAACAATCACTTTGTTTTTTGAATGTTCGTATTTATTTTTCAGGGAACATGAATAATGTAGACTGAAGAGTATAAAATTAAATAAAGAAATGGAACAGCACATCTATTTTCTCGCAATATACTTGAACGATCTACTTTGGAAATGTTTGGCAATAATCATTGACGTAGAATGCAAAACTAAATAACAAATTTGTATCGTATTTTCTTCTTTTTGGTACTACCCAGTCATGAATCACAAAAGTTTAGTTGTTCAATAAAAAGAGTTCCAGCATGATGTAACTTAAAACTAACAACTTTTTATGAGAGCATAAAAGGACGGTGGGCCTTTGGAGTCGCTATCGAATAATCTTATAATCATCCATGTTTGTCTAGTCGCAAATGAAACCTCATAAGCTAATAGTGCCTACTGATGACATTCCGGCAATCACGGTGGCTTTTTTAAAGAAATACATAATTTATTCTTTGCGTTTAGTGGTGGTACAACTTAAGCGACGATGTCTCAAATTCCTGATATGTTAGAATAACAATAGTCGCCTTTACATCATTAGCGGAGCATCGAAATTTTAGCACCCCACTTCCTGCTAGTTTCGCAACACGTAAAACAATCCAGTGTTCTGCGGTCAACTACCTTCAGGTGACCTTCAGTCCTGGATGCTTACCTTCCTCCTGACTAGCTGCTATATCACAGACATCACAGTTTAACTGCATGTAAGATTTGGTGTACCACATTGTAATTTCAGACACCTCGCCAAAGACTGTTTTAATGACGGAGTGACGCTACTCTTCTATAGTCCATATCATTTCTCCACTTCTTGCTTAACCACCTTAGAGCCGGTCCACACGGCGCGTTGCGTCGACGCAGCGCTGTCCTTGCCAATGCCAATAACCAAAGTGTTCACACGGCGCGCTGCGTCGTCGCAACGCACACATGACGGACAGCAGCCCCCGAGACGAAGCGGGAGGGGGTGTACTCGTGCGACGTCGGAACGGCAGCGCTCAGTTGCTTGTGCGTTGACAGAGAGGATACACGCAAGCTCATTTCATTTTAAGTACGTTACGTTTTTGTATTCAGTTTTATAAGCAGGATAAAATGAATTCCATTGAAGAAATTGACATGGATTACTTCATTACATTGATTCAGGAAAGTGAATATATATGGGACAAGTCAAACGTAGATTTTAAAAATAAAAATTTAAAAACAAAAGCCTGGGAAGAAATATCAAAAGTTTTATTTCCTGATTACGAGAATTTCACAGCTGAACGAAAAAACAAAGTTGGTGAGTTCACAGTACAGATATTTATTGTTTTTTTATTTAATACTATTATACCTTCTTTAGTTGCCAAGGCAGAGTTCCTCTAGTCATAAAATAGGTCGCAAAATGCTGTCTTATGACATTCGGTGCTGTCTGTTCTTCATCTGCGGGTTGTATTGGGAGAAATGCATCAACACTTATAGCAAATGTATCTCTTTGTCTAAAACCATCTCGATCAGCGACAAAATTGTGTAGTACACAACATGCTTTTATTATGTCAGTAGCGAAGTCATAGGACACGTCTATCGGTCTGTGAAAAATGCGCCATTTGTTTGCCATAATCCCAAAAGCGCATTCGACATATCTTCTGGCCCTGCTTAGACGATAATTGAAAACCTTTTGTTGTAAGTCAAGATTTTTACCACCATATGGACGCATAATATGTTTGCTCAGTCCAAAAGCTTCGTGACCCACAAATACATACGGGGTTGGTATATTGCTACCAGAGAGTGGCTGGGGTTGAGGTAGTGGTAAGTTGTTGTTAATCATTAGCTCGTACAGTTTAGAATTTAGTAATATGGTTGAATCGCATTCTTTTCCGTATGCACCGATGTCGACAAAAACGAATTTGTAATTTGAATCCACAATAGCTAGCAACACAATCGAAAAAAAGGCTTTATAATTATAAAAAAGTGAGCCACTATGTGCAGGATTACACACACGGATGTGTTTGCCGTCGATGGCACCAACACAGTGAGGAAAATTTGCCTTTACATCAAAATCCCTCGCTATTGTTTGGAAACTTTCAATTGTCAGTTCAGGGATGTTGTCTCGAAGAAGATTGGTCCAGATAGCACGACAAACTCTTTGTATCATATATGCAATAGTAGATTTTCCCCGTTTGAATTTCAAATGTAAATCGGTTATTGAATTTCCACTTCCTAGGTATCTGAAACGAAAATAATTATTTTAATATGCATTTATGAGATAGATAGATACCCGAAAAAAAAATACTGACATATTCAGACATCGATAACAAACAACTTTCTCTACGTGACCAATTAATTCTGCAATCACGAAAAAAATAACAGCTATTGCATACATTTTGATTCAGTAGGTATTGATTTTTGTATGTAACAGCTGTTATATCTTCACGATTCCAGAGTTGGTCACATAGTGTTTGTTATCGATATCTGAATATGTCATTAAATTTTATCGAGTAATTCACGATGTATAACTTATTAAATCATGTTTACTATTGGTTTTGCAGGTAATGATTTAATGACGAAATGGAGAAGTGTAAAAGATAATTACTTCAGATATTCAAAAAAATTAAAAGAAGCATCAAAATCGGGCTCGGGCGCTACGAAACTGAAAAAGTATCATTTATATAATCAACTTCTTTTTTTGAGAAGAGTGGAACAAAATGCCACCGAATCTAGCTTAGACTCGCCTAGAGAAATCAACAATGAATCTACGTCTACAAATGATGATATTACCACAGACGACTCTCCGCGCTATGTTCCAGTCGCGCGCAAAAGGGCAATGCAAATGGATGGGTTTGAAAGAGAAGGGCTAAAACTTCTCAAGGAGCCGGATAATCGCCATATGTCCTTTTTCAGAGGTATATTGCCATCAATTCAAGATTTTTCCGACCGACAAACTCTCCGTTTCCAAAGTCAAGTAATACAAATGATAGACGAAATGCGGTATGGACAAACATCATCATATGTGAGTGGCCCATCAACGTCTCACCAACCATTATCATATGGGTATCAAACAAGCAATTTTCAAAGTACATTCAATTCTGATAATAATAATTCAATTACATCTCCAGATCAAACATCTCAAGCAAGTGAAGAAACCGAATACGATTTTTGTAATTTGTAATTACTGGATTAAGTCCCTCTTAAATAATCTGTAAACTTGAGTTGATTACTAATTAAACAAATTACAAAAACTGTTATCTTTTAATTACTTATATAAATTATTACCTTAAAGTAATTCCCAGCATTTCTACTGGTTCCACTGGATTCCTCATATTAGTATAGTTTTTTCGTATGTGTGGTTCTACGGACTTCAATAAACATTCGAAGCTGGATACACTCATTCTAAAAAAGTTATAAAACTTCTTTTCGTCTAATAGCAGCTCCCGATATTCTAACAAAAAAAACTGTCCATCACTATTTCTTAATGCAATGAAAGGACAGACCCAATACCGTCTTGTGATCTTGCGTCGATTTCGGCGGTGACGCAGTAATAGGAGCAATGCTAGACGTCTTTTCCGATCCATGCTTTCTTATAGACTGACTGCGATATTTTTACAAAATGCTTGCCGCACCTGTGCGTCGTCGCTGCGCCGATGGAACGTTAAGACTGCGTCACAGTAACGCTGTGATGGCGCAGCGCCTGTGTGGCCGGCTATGCGTCAAAATATTTGCGTTGCGACGACGCAACGCAACGCAACGCGCCGTGTGGACCGGCTCTTAGGTGCTAATGCGACGTTGCAGTTCAGTATTTTGGGAGGCCAGAAGATGAAGGAGGTATGTGCAACTTGGATTACGGATTTTTGTACATGGATCAAAGGATACAATTAATGTAGTTAACGGTTGCACATCAAACTGTATGGGATTAATCGAAATGCTAATAGTAATATACCCACACATAACAGACAGAACATTAAAAAATCGATGCACCAGACTAAGAAAAAAACTGAAAAATTATCTAGATAATAACAAAGAAGCCCAAAGCGACACATCCTCTGTCGATTCAACATTTTAATAAATGGCGAAAATAATGCAATGGAACCTAAATGGTTATTACACCCACCTCAATATGCTGAAGAAACTTATTGCTAACCACACACCTGAGATAATATGCATCCAAGAGACACATTTCATGATGCCAAAGTAGACGCGCCAAAACATTATATTGGATATTTTAAAAATAGGCGAACGACAACAGCCAGTGGCGGCATGGCTATTTAAGTAAAAAACAACATAGTAGCGGATCAACTAAATATAAGCACCAACCTTGAAGCAGTAGCAGTCTCCATACAAACTCCACAGAAACTAAACATTTGCAACATATACAGGGTGACTTCGAAGTTGAGTCATTTATTTTAACAGTGAGTAGATCTGATCAAAAGAAATGTTTTTTTCCTTTACCATTTTTCTGATAAAATTAAAGTAACAAAGTTATAGCCCTTTGGAAGTTTGAGTACCGCCCTGTCTCAATAATGATATTATGTTCTCGTGTTTGGCAACAACAGATATAATCCGCCTTATCCGTTCATCGCATCGGAAACAAAAAAGCGAAAGAATTTGGAACGATATTTTTATAATTAGTTTCTTCAGTTGTATACAGTCAGTATCAGTCGGTAGTCGGTAACGCGTAAGTGAATTGTCGTGTCTGTTGCGAGGCTCAAATCAAAAATGGCACATGTTTACGAAAATGCTGAACTTGTGGACATGGTTCTTATTTACGGGGAGTCTTTACAAAATGCTGCCGAGGCATCACGGATCTATGCGGATCGGTTTCCCAATCGAGTGCAACCAACCCCTCGTGCCTTTGTTAATGTAGTGCAAAGACCTCGTGAATCAGGTGACTTAAGACCTCACAGAGGAGATCATGCCGGTGCTCCAAGACCACACGATCAAATAGAACTAGAAGAACAAATTTTAGAATTAGTAAGTGATGATCCAACAGTAAGCACCCGACAAATTTCAACTCAATTGGCGATTAGTCAATATAAAACTTGGAAAACTCTACGTGAAAATCAGTTCTATCCGTTTCACATACAAAAAGTGCAGGCCTTACAACCGGAAGATCATGAACAAAGGGTTGACTTTTGCAATTGGCTTTTAAATAAACATCAAAATGATGACAATTTTTTAAATCAAATTTTAGTGAGTGATGAAGCCCTCTTTACTAGAAACGGAATTATTAATTCACGTAATTCTCACGTTTGGGCTATTGAAAATCCCCATGAAATAAAGGAAACCAATTTTCAACAGCGATTTGAACCAATCAACCTGTGGGCGGGAATTGTTAATGGAATTTTAGTGGGGCCTTTTGAATTACCAAATCGCTTAACTGGTGAAAATTATTTTGATTTCTTGCAACACAATTTGCCTGGTTTACTGGAAGATGTGCCTTTAAATATTAGACAAAACATGTGGTTTTTACAAGATGGGGCACCACCCCATTATGCAAGAAATGTGCGTGAATTTTTAAATAGACAATTTAATAATCGTTGGATCGGCCGTGGCGGTTTTGTACCTTGGCCGCCAAGGTCTCCGGACTTAAATCCTTTAGACTTTTGTTTGTGGGGTTGGCTAAAAACTCTAGTGTATAAAACACCGGTTAATACACGCGAAGAATTACGTGCTCGAATTGAGGAAATGAGTACAGTGATCAGAAATCAACCAGTGATTTTATTGCGTGCTTGTAAAGAGACATGGCTAAGACGCGCCCAGCTGTGCGTCGAGCAAAACGGAAATCATTTCGAACAGTTTTTGTGACATGCTTTTGGGCGCACAGGTCCGCACTGAAATACTTGTCGGGAGGATACTTTATAAAACAAGGTAACATTTTTTTTTTATTTTTACACACATATTTTGGTTTATCTTCCTTCTACAATCATTATCTGAAAATTAATGACTCAACTTCAAAGTCACCCTGTATATTCCCCCAAATCACCACATAGAGATTGCTGAATTCGAGGCACTTATAGAACAAATACCGTCACCAAGAATAATACTCGGCGACTTTAATGCTCACAGCCATACATGGGGGTACTTCAAAAATGATACCAGAGGCAATATTATAACAAGTGCCCTTGACACATATACACTGAGTGTACTACGATGGAAACAGCACCAGGTTCGACGCAGCATCTGGTAGATTCTCTGCAATTGATCTAAGCCTATGTTCCCCCAGCCTTCTAGCTGATCTGGAAAGAAAACGATATTTACAGCAGCGACCACTTCCCAATCATTATCTTCAATTCCAAAGATGAACCTGTTAATAGTAAGCCTCCCGAAAAATGGAGAACACATAGAGCCGATTGGACAAGTTCACGTCTCTCATTGAAGAAAAAATATCTACGCCGTATACACCTGGGGACATAAATACTCGTGTTGAACACCTTAACAATATAGTTATAGAGGCCGCAACATTTAGCATGGGCAAAGCTAAATTGATCATGAATAAAAATCCAGTACCCTGATGGAATAGGGAATGTGAGGTAGCACTTCAAGAAAGTAAAAAGGCACTCAACAAATTTAGGAGACAAAAAACTCTGTTAATCTAAATAACCTCCGCAATAAACAAGCGCAGATGAGACAAATAACAACTAAAAGACAAAAACAATCATGGAATTTGTTAGCAGCACCTCCTCTAAGACTACTATGAAGAAAGCATGGAAAAATATAAGAAGTATTTCAGGAGCAAAAAACTTTTCAAAAATAAAAGCTTTGAAAAACGGGCACAATATCGTCACACGGGATGATGAAATATGTGAATTACTATCCGAAACGTACCATAAAAATTATAGTGACCAAAATTATCATCCAGATTTCCTAGCACACAAGAAACTTAAAGAATCAACACCTCTAAAAGAACTTAAAGACACATCTGCTGGACCAGAAGAAATACCTTTTCAATGTGTATAATATTATATTGAGCGAACACACTTTTCCTGATCTCTGGAGGACAGGAATAACAATACCTATTCTAAAACCAGATAAACCGCCTCAGTTACCTGAATCTTACAGACCTATATCGCCAACGTGCGCTATGAGCAAGCTTTTGGTGAAAATCGCCAATCATAAATTAATGTGGAGTCTTGAAAATCAAAACTTAATAATTAACGAACAAGCTGGTTTCAGATCAAACAGATCCACTCTTGATAACATAGTAGATCTAGAAACTCACATTTAGGAAGCATTTGCAGATCGACAACATTGCTTAGCCATTTATTTCGACATAAGCAAGGCTTTTGATACTGCTTGGAAATATGCTATTATTTCTAAACTCCAAACTTGGGGCTTCAATGGAAACATCCTCGCATTTGTGAATAACTTTTTGACAAACAAAAGATTCAGAGTACGTACAAATGGAGCACTTTCGAATGAGAAGACTCAAGATAACGGCACACCTCAAAAGTCCATCATAAGTCCCACATTATTTCTTATAGACATGAACGATATATTGAAAGACATTGAAAGACCAATACAAGCACGCCTCTATGCAGACGACCTAATCATGTTTGTAAAAGGAAACAACCCAAAAACAAATGCTACTCTACTCCAAAAACAGCTTAACAACTTAGAGTCATGGTCGAAGGTCCTGACATACTACTCTAGACTATTATCAAACCCTCAAGCATCACTCCACCAGAATCACCATAACGCAAGAACATATTCACCACAATTAATATCTGAGACACCCTTTTACCACAGGATTAGAGTCATCTTACAAAACCTGGATATCTAAAGTCTGCCATCTATCTTTGCTACAATGTCCTCTGTCATTCCACCATGGATGATCTTCTCACCGAAAATCGATACAAGGTTGACAAAATACAATAAAGAATAGACGCCTCCAGAAATCATCATCCAAAACTTCTACAACTTATTGGCTGAGTATCCAGATCACCGCTTGATCTATACAGATGCGTCAAAGACGGACCTAGATACTGATGCAGCAGTAGTAACACCAAACTCGACCTTGACCTTCAAGCTTCCTGGAACATCCACCATCCTCACAGGCGAATTGTACACAATACTCAAGGCTCTCACGTACATAGAAGAAAATGCAACCAGGCACTGGATCATAATAAGTGACTCTCTAAACTCTCTCACACTAATAAAAAAAATCTTCAATAGAAACCCATTATCTAACATAATACGGGATAAAATCTACAACCTGCAACGCAGGGACGTTCATGTTTCATTTATATTGGCTCCTTCACATGTTGGAATAAAAGGAAATGAAACAGCAGATAAAATGGCTAAACAAGCCTCAAGCATGCTCCATGAATCCAACCTTGAGGTTCCAGCATCAGACCTCAAAATATTCTTGAAACAGAAGATCATCAAATACTGGAACGATATATGGCAGACTACATCCTCCAAACTGCTGGAATTAAAACCATCCCTAGGACCGTGGCAGATTCCCACCAGCAACAGAAAGTAGCTAAAGATGATGATGCGGCTTGTATTAATAAAAAAAAAGAATTTTTTATTTTCTGATTTTATTTTATTTTACTATCTGTAACCTTTTACACCTTGATATTTTTACAATTTTACAATAATTTACAATTTTTCACTTTTTCAGTATTTTGTACTTTTCAATTTTTCTATTTTTGATCAAAAGTTGTCACATAGCAACAACTTTTTGTAATAGGGGGAGTTGTTATATGCCCTTAGTAACTACGCAGTTATCAAGTAAGTCTACATTGTTGCACTAGACGCTGCGTTAGCATAAGATAACAACTTCTCGCTAATCAGTTGTTTGCCTCTTGTCTCTATTTTCTATGGATCTATTGTTTGTCCATTGTCCATTATGTATTTCTGCTGATCATAGTCAGCAGCCTAAA